GTCTGGTTGGTTGGTTGGTTGTCAGGTCATCTGTCTCAGTTTGTTTTCTGTCTGCCTAAATTCTTCTCTATACAAACATAAACAGATATTAAAGCGAGTGTCCTTCTTTGTTTGTTTCTTTGTATGTGTTTGTTTTTTTCTATGTTTTTGTATTGTTTTTCGTTCTGCCAGTGTTTTTTTAGACTGTATTATTGTTAGTTCATCTGTAATTTTATATTTTTTTTCAGAGTTATGTATCTTTCTTTTCTTCGTGCGTGTTTACGTTCACGCGATACAACATTATCACAAGCATTAACACCATGATCATCTTCATCATCACTTATCATCATTGTCATCATCATAACATCACTTTAACATCATCATTAAATTGTCATAACAGTACAACAACATCATTATGACATCATCACGACACCATCACATCATCATATCTAGCTTGCATCCAGGTGACTTGTACATGTTCACTAGAAAACCACTTTTTCTCATCGTAGACAGCAACAATAGTTCTGCGTTTAAGGCTAGCTAGATCACTTAGTTGTCATCTTTTTTTTCTGTTTTGATCTTTCTTTTCTTTAGTTTTTCATTCATTCATTTGTTAGTTCATTCATTCATTCATTTGTTAGTTCATTCATTCATTCATTTGTTAGTTCATTCATTTCATTTGTTAGTTCATTCATTCATTCATTTGTTAGTTCATTCATTCATTCATTTGTTAGTTCATTCATTCATTCATTTGTTAGTTCTTTCATTCATTTCTTACTTCATTCATTGATTCTTTAATTCATTAATTTCACCCATGTTGTCATCACAATCATCAACATCATCGTTTCTGCTTGTTTAGTTTTGGCCCAACTTATTTGGGCAGCCACTTGTTTGCTTGCTGTCACCTGAAGAGGTTCCGACCACATTTGAAGGTAGGTGCGTTTGTTTTTGGCCTGTCGTTCGTTTGTGGTGTGGCTGGTTTGTGGTGTGGCTGGTTTGTGGTGTGGCTAGTTTGTGGTGTGGCTAGTTTGTGGTGTGGCTGATTTGTGGTGTGGCTGGTTTGGGGTGTGGCTGGTTTGTGGTGTAGCTGGTTTGGGGTGTGGCTGGTTTGTGGTGTGGCTGGTTTGTGGTGGGCTGGTTGTTTGTCGTGCGCTGTGGTGAATAGTAATTACGGTTAAGCTGACGGTGACACGATCGATTTTCCCAAGCAGATCAGCATCAGAAGGGCAACATATTAACACTGTTTCTACACAGTCCCCTGACGGCATTCTGTTACGTCTGCAATATAAGCGAAGTACCTGTTAGACTCTGGGATGCGTGCCAGGTGTGTGTTGTTGTGTACAGTTGTGTGTGGTTTTGTGTGGTAGTGTCTGGTTTTGTGTGGTAGTGTCTGGTTGTGTGTGGTTGTGTGTGGTTGTGGTGGGTTTTGATCGTGTGGTTGTGGTGGATTTTGATTAGTCAACTAATGATTCTCTGTAATCCGTTAGAGGACTTTTTGCTCTTTCCAAAATTTGTTTGCCATTGCTTTCAGACACAAACCTTCCAACCTTAATTCCATTTCTCTGAATGTTGTGAGTTGTTTGCCCATCCTACAAGAGTTTATTTTTGTCATTAGTGCAATTTTAATTACTTTGATTAGCTCGTTGTTTAGCTCAATTCTCATTCAGCGTCTTTGCTAGATTGATGTGATGATATGTGTCTCTGTACTGTACTTAATAATTGCTGTTAGAAGTTTACAACAGCGCATGCAGTTTATATTTCATGCGTGCGCTATTTTGCAAGCCATGCAATAACTCTTTTTCAAAAGTCTCAGGTTGACAAGTTCATATCAGATGCTAGCAAGTGTTTCACAAGGTCCAATCACATCGGTCAGTTTTTTTTTCATCGTTGCTGATGTTGTTGTGTGTGCTTGTGTATGAGGTCATTCTTGTTGGCGATTTCACGTGAATGTTGTTGGTTGATCCGTGTAGTATTCGGTGTAAGGACGTGTGTAAACGATTTGTGTCAGTGCATGCATGCAAGAATTTCTGTGTTTTTTCTAAGTTTAGCTGCAAATAATGTGTTGCCATTTGATATATTATTAATAATTATAAATCAATATTAATTTGTTATATTGTTGAATATATGTCGGCGGCAAATGCTAATGACACCTATTTTGGCCAACGTCACCTATTTTCATCAACAACACCACCACTACCACTGACAGACATGTTCTTCATGTACTTCTTCGGAGATGACTTCCTGAGAACATTGCTACTGAGGCACGTCTTCTGTTACCTAGTGCTTGCCATGCACAAGATGTTCAGAGTCAGTTATAAATGAAGATAGTTTTTTTTACTCTTATGTGTTTTTCTTCTTCAAAATTTACTCCAAAGAACACACGGCGTATGTAATACATATGACTCAACACATCACATACACAGTTTGTGTGCTATTGGCGGGATATCATTGCGTTTGAATCCAGGCACGTTAATCATTGCACCATCTTTCTATACATGATTCTGATGCCTGTTCTGTAATGTTATGTGATTGTTTGTGTTGTTTTCGTCTTATGAAGAGGATGATGATGATGATGAGTGATGAGAAATTGAACAGTTGAAGTTCTGATGAATAGCATTTAACAGAGTGAGTAGTTATATAAAAATTGAATAAAAATATAATGCGATGTAATAGAACGTATAACATAACAACAACAACAATAATAATAATAATAATTTATAATTCAATATAATATCGCTAAATGATTCTTAACCAGTTAAATCGATCGATTAGTTTGACTAACTATTTAGTTAACCGTACAATTCAGTCGGTCAAGTACTTGCCCAGTTCCTACCCCAGCTTACCAAAGGAGGACGTCATAGAGAACATCCAACTGGTCAGGTGCGTGAGGGAGATTGCTGCCATCCTCAACATCGGGCACCTCTTCCTGGATGAACTGGACACCAGCATGGTCAACAACAACAACAATAACAACAACAACAATAATAACAATAATAATAATGCCAATTGAAGCATGCCTGTGTTGTGTAATATGGGAGATGGTGAATGAGTGGACGAATAATAACTTTGGGATTTATTGAATTAATGGATTTATAAATGAATGAATGAGTGAGTGAGTGAATAAATAAATGGATGAATGGATGGACGAATGAATGGATGGATGAATGAATGGATGAATGAATGAATGAATGAATGATTGTATATTTGATTGATTTATTGAATGATTGGTTGAATGAATGAAAGAATATTTGGTGATTCAAGCAAATCGTGTAGCAAAATGTTAAGGATGATTGTGTAATTAATATTGTATATTGTATGTAAGTATGTATGTTTAAAAGAACGTATATATAGATGCATGTATGTATGTATGTATGTGTGTTTGTTTGTATGTATGTTTGTATGTATGTTTGTATGTTTGTAAAGGTATTTGTTGTAATATGACGCTCATGCAATAGAATGAAAGTATTAATCTATTTACCTAGTCAAGTAAACCTATCGTTTAAAAATCTTCATCAATAACACTTGTTTGTTTCACCGTAGTAAGTTGACCGATTTGATTGATTGATTGATTGATTGAATTAATGACGGAATGATTGAACGAATGAATGAAGAAACGAATAAATGAAGAAACGAATGAATGAATGAATGAATAAATGAATGAAGGAATGAATGAAGGAATGAATGAAGGAATTAATGAAGGAATTAATGAAGGAATGAAAGAATGAATGAATGAATGAAGAAATGAAGGATTGAATGGCTACATAAATGCCTGAACGAATGGTCAATTAATTTTCGCTATTATTAAAAATAGGTTAATACGTACGTTTGCCAGTCTTTTGTTAAGATTAGCGTTTAAGATTGTCTCCATTTTAGAACTCAGTTAGTTCTCTATTGTTAATTAAATAAATTTTCGTACCTAGCTCAAATTTTTATATTTCTAACTGCAATGGACTATTTATTGATCACGTGATGATTCATGGTGATTACACTGGGATATAATTTTAACATTATTAAGAGTAAACGTTAGTTAACTAAGATAAAATACTAAAAATGAATAAATAATCGTTAATTAATTAATATTAATTAATTAATATTAATTAACTAATTAATATTAATAACCCTGTGACTACCTTACTTATTTCATGATCAATTAATCATCATCATTGTATCACGAGCAATGCAGCTGTCACTGTTTAATTTACATTCCATTTAATTTCAATTCCTACTACCTACAACCAACTAACTAACCAACTATCATCTTTCAGGTATTATTAATTGATGTATCTTTTTTTATCATTTCATCGTTTCGCCAATCTAGTCGGTTTAAACATTTTTTTTTCTAACGATTTTCAAGTTGGAACTTTTTCAATTTTATTCATAAATTCATTTATTTGCTCCTGTTTTAATTATACATGTTGAGTAACAACTATAGCTATGTATACATATGAAGCGAATGTTGTGTCTTGCTGATTATATATATATATATATATATATATATATATATATATATATATATATATATATATATATATATCTAACTGACCGACTAATGATTTATTATTGTTGATTCAAATTATTGTGTGCTATCGTTCGCATTTTACTAGATGATTTGGATGGTGATGATAATTAATTGATATTAACATCATGTCATGTTGTTCATCAAAAAGTTGTTCATAGCTATCTGTGTACGGTCAACCCAATCGAGACATTCATTTTGGGACTAACTTGAAGTTCGCTTCCTTGTTATTACTTCTTTTATGTCATGTTGCTAACTGTCTGAAACATCATATCACAATTGCGGCATTCAAATAGCAAGAAGAGATGTTTGTTGAATTTTTATTACTGCACCTATTGAAAATTTCCTATCTTTTGTTTATTCCAAGTTGCGTTGTATATACTCTTCTTATCAGAAATGACCTTCTCAAATAATTTGTCGACAGTCACCAATGATGTGTGGATGAGTTTTTTTTCCAGCTTTTAAATGTCTGTACATGCTGTTGTATCTGTTTTGAAGATTAGATCCATTCCTACTATTTCTAGAGTGTAGGGATTTCATTTGGTGAGACTTCGTATTATCATGTCGTATGTTGGCATACTTGTGTCGTCAGCAGGGCTCTATGAATAGTTGATCTCTTTAACGAAAAGTTTTAGGGAGTTGTTAAAGCTTGATACTAAGTACACTTAGGGTGTAATTATTCTATGCGTATATAAGTCATGCTGTTTATATTTCAAGTTTAGATTTAGTAACTAGAGTTGAATTGCACACAAACTTGTATTGGGTTTTTACTATATGTGTATGTGCTAGTATGATGCACTGTACCGTACACCGACATGCTGCGTTTTAAAGTAAACTCACGCGTTACATTGTACATAGACACACAGATGCTAAACTAAAGTTTTTCACCTTTCTTGCCTCTATTACGTGTCGAAGTGTTTGTGTGTGCTTGTTCGCGATTCTTTTTGTTGCTTTATGTGTGTGTGTGTGTAGGTATGTATGTGTGTGTGTGTTGTGTGTGTGTGAGTGTAGTTTAGTGTCTAGCATGAAAAAGTCCGCGTGCTTAAGTATTTGTTCTAACCATACAATCTTACGTAGTTGTGTTTATTCAATTTTATTTTTTCTCCGAAGATGTATTCTTTCTTGTTGACCGTACATGCTTGGGTCTTCCTATTTGCAATTTTTGACTCTACGTGTCGTTAAATCTTCGAATTGTCTTTGCTTATTTAACTGATTCATTATATAGCTCTCAGAATGCTTATCTTTTAATGGCATCTATCCGCTGTGTTTCATGCTTTTGATGAATTCATAATTTTTCCAGCTACTCTCCAGACAGGGCATTTTAGGTCCAAGCTTGATTTTTCATATTTTTGTTTTTCACAATTTTCTAACTCAGTGAACCAACCAGTTGGTTGTTTAATCTCATGTCCTTGTTTGGTTAAGTTTTACCTGGTCCACGCCATCATTGTTCTTTTTGTCGGCACTGTATGCCTGTTAACTGCAATGTCTCATTTTTTTTTCAGTGACATCTGCGGAATCTTTCAGCCTTACCCTGTTCTGTCACATATTCTTTAATTTTTCTGTGGGCTCATTTTGCGTCATATAACCTTCGTATTTAATAACCATTGAATAACTGTACGTTGTATATATATGTCATTGGATTTAAGATCCAATACGTTGTTATACATTATATACATACATACATACATTTATTTATATATAAATATAAATGTGTGTGTGTGGTGAAGTGTGTTTTTCGATTGTATGTATCACATTGTGTTTAGTAATCTCGGTCTAGTATGGCTTAATAATATTCAGAACTCAGACTACGTTGAATTGTTATGTTGGTTGCTTTCATTTTTGTTGAAGCTCCAGATATTAACTGAGTATGGTTTTCTACCAGTCGATCCAACTTGGTGTGTTTGATCATTTCTTTGTAATCTAGTAAATATTAGTGACCGTATGTGTAGTACACATAAATAAGAGTGTGTGTATATACATTGATATTTGTATATATGTTTTTGTAGTTACGTATTTATTATTTGTACGTGCTTGTTTGTGCTTGCATGTATGTCTATGTTGTGATTGGCGTGAAGGTTCTGTTTTAACGTTCATCAGGTATAGTTAACGTGTTTGATTTCGTCATTTCTACTCCATGTTGGATGCACATTCATCGACAGCCTACAGCGAGATACATTGAAATGTTAGGATTTTCAAGTTTATGAATCTGTTCTTACTGACCATCGTATAAATAGTTTGAATGGTTGAATGTTTAGCTGTGTGGCAAAAGAAAAAATGGGCAAACTTTATCTTTTTGAGTTGTCCTTTGCCTAAATATTCTCGAATTGTAAACTACAACACTGTAACATTTTGTAGAAATTATTATCGTTTATTTTCCAACGCGTGTTCGCGTGTCCTGGTACTATTTTAGTGTTATCTGGTTGATGTTGAACAAAAATTGCTACCTGAGAGCTTTTTTCATTGAAGTTGGAACAGCAGACCATCTTACCGAAATCTGGTGACAGTTTTTTTTGTGGTGTTTTGTTCTGGTTTTACTTCAGTTGTTTTAGTTGGAGTTTGTTATTATATTAAGAGAATGTAAATAACTTGGAAGTAAATGTTTGAAATGATTGTTTGGAATTATGAAAATGTTGGACCTGACATTAATTATATAGTTGCTTGAATGGGGCCAGGTGGTGCTGCTGCTGTGTGTCTGATTTTTTTTTGTAACGTTACTTCGTCTGTAAACGTTTTTTTTTATATTTTCTTGTCGCTTTTAATATTAGCTCAAATCTCGTTCCTTTTTATTTAAAATTATTTTTCCCCGCTGTGTGTTTGTAAATATTGATACAAATAATTTACCGTTATCTAGGTTTTTAAACGAATTTAATTCCCTATTGTTATTTTTTCTAAATTGTCTTAAAGTATGAAGCGTTTTTAAATTTCACAGTTTGAACATTCAAAGTGTTCTATACAGTCTCTTATCATTTTATAACTTTTACATTTGTGTTAGTAAATTTTGAAAAAAAAATATAGTCGCGCTTTTTAAACTCTCAATTATTTCAATTGAACAGCTCACGTTTTTTAGTCATTTAAAAAAAAAATTAGTTCTTTTTTTGGGTGACTACTTTTGAAGTTTTTTTTTATATGAAACTGAATTTAACCTTCAGAAATATATTTGCATTTATATTATTACCTGTACTATTTTTATCCGTATTATTATTTCCCATGCTAAAAATACATCCTATTTATAATAATCGAATTTGAGTTATAGAAATTTAACCTGAAACATTTTCAACTTCGATTTTAATGCTGCATCTTGCAGTTTGGCTTAAATTCTTTTCAGGAACATGTTTGTCAATTATTATGAAACGTTTTTTTTTCTTTCTTTATTGAGTTTTTTTTTCAGATTGTAAACCAGCAAACTCTATCGTCACCGAGTTGTTTATTGAATTGTATTTTTGAAGTTTTTTTTTGTTTGTATGTTTTTTGCATTTATGTTTTTACATCCCAAT